TTCTTTAGCTAGTCGAACTGAACAATTCGTGTTACTGCCATAATACAACTACAATAACTCTACGTCATACAAATAAAACAACACTTCGTTTTCTATATAAGGAGTATCTTTACCATTAGTTGATTTATTTGAATTTCTATTACATTTACTTGTATATCGATCAATTCAACATGTTGGATCATGGCAAAGGCTTCTCATGTAGAGGAACTACATCCCATCTAATTTGTTGCCTTCTCCTTTTTTATAAATTATCTCTGCTATACAAATTTAATTACGTATTGCCCCAGAATTCTATCTTAAATCTTAACCTTAACGTAACCTGCCCATCTCCATTTTTATTAATAAATTTCGACCTACACATCGTGACATAACTGTTACTCACCTGTTCAAAAATGTTATATCGTATCACCGTTTCTTTTTCTTAATTTGAGCTCGTCTACATAATGTTTTGGAAATCACTATACTTATTAGCCATATTATGTATTATTGTATATTATTATTCTAACATGAGTTAGAATGCAGGTTAAATACTTTTTTGTAATGAATTCTTTTCTTAAAAATTTGACAATTTATTAAATAGAAGTAAGCAACTAACTAACAATCTAATGCATTGTTATTGGCTACTATAGCACTCGTGCTTCTGCAACGAAATTCAAACAAAAATCCTTCAGACGAAGCGTCATTACTGATCACTGAAATGAAAACCTTCACAGACTGTTCTCATGGTTATTGTTAGTCTTGAAATTGGGACATAACAGAGAAATTATTGCGTCTTGGTGACAAAAAAAGCATGGTTCCGTCTTATCTGAATTATTTTTTACATGTTTATATTTTAATTTGTCATAATATTTTGTTTGTTATTATTATCAATAGTTCTTAACAAGTATACATATAAACACAGATATAGTTATTAAATTTCATTAGGTCATTTAATTATCCAACCAATCCAACCAAGTAATAATTGCGCTCAACCAAAAATACATAATATCACTTCCAGTCTCTATTGTTCAACGTAAATTCGATTAAATGAAGCTAAAAGTCGGTATATGAATAATTTGGCACTCGGCGATCGAACCAAATAAAGTAACCGTCATGAATGTTTATCTTAATCTTTGGTAGCATCCTTTTATTATTTTACTATGTACTCATAACTTTTAACATTATTTGTTTAGACTATAAAAAATGGTGTGTTTTTATTTTGTTATCAGTTTGTTTGTGTGTCGTGCCGTTTAATATAAAATTATGTTAGTGTTGTACATTTCTCATGTAAGTGAATTTTAATTCTTTTGAGAAAATAAATGTCTTAAACCATAATAGTATTACGCGAAAATTTGCGTCTAGGTGATCTGGCAGTACGACGGCAGTTTTTTTTTTTACAGAAGTGAGAATGCAGCATGACTCTAAGTCTAATCATACGCTAAAGCGTGGCTAACAATTTACTCAAATACTATATCTGTTTTGCTAAAAAGCGACGAGAACAGAGGCCTTTTAGTGACGAGGCTTTCATCTGAATAGGTCACCACGAATTTTTACATTAATCCTTCTCGGACGCTGGGTAAAGATTTTTGATGGGTTACTGCGACCTCAACCCGTCAGGTGGAGGGCACGTGCTGGTATTGACACTATAAACTAAAAGAACAGAACATTCTTTTTTTTTTAAATTTATCTACGCACATACAATACAGAAACAGTCTTATAGTAAATTCGTACAAAGGTTCTTCTTATTCCATAATTTGCTGAAATATCTTCCAGTAGACCCATACAGGATAATAGATATGTTAAAATGGCGAACTTAGTGTGTACTACATTATCGTACTTGTACTACTAATGAATAAATAATATACAAAATGTCACGTAAATTATATTAAATAAAACTATAAATAAAAATAAAATAAATCAATATATAAAAATAATAAATACGATAGTTACATATCACATTACATAGTATACATATTAGACATTATATAAACTAATGCTAATATATGTAATAAAATATTCTTTTGTTTCATCTAGATTATTTTAATATGTTCCACTTTAAGCCTTAAATTAAATTAGTTTGTGGAATAAATAATTTTTTTACGATTTAGTAGCGTTTAATTTTACTTCCTTTATATTCCAGACTTTTTAACTGCCCAACAGCAAGTGCTTAACGTTACGTGGCCGCTCGGGAAGTTTTGCGAAACTAAAAAAAATCTATTGTTATATTATTTGCTTTCAAATTAAGTTTTTATAGAACAATGGTAAAAACGAGCACACAGTACACCTGATGGTAAGTGGATGCTGCCCATAGACTTTTATCTATCACCGATTAAGAATCGGAATGTAGATGCGTTGTCACATTTGAAATAAAATACCTCGTCACCAGTAAAATTGTTCTCCAGTTCTCTCCACTCACCATACAAAACACAGCATTATCAAGCTGCTAATGTACGCTGGTACTCAATATAACTTTTTTAATAGAATAAGGTGACAAATGAGCACACAGTCCACTTAACGGTAAGTGGATGCTGTGGCCCATAAACCTCTACATTTATTCTCGACTAAGAATCAAAACGTAGATGCGTTGTCACCCCTGAGGACTAAGATTAAATGCCTCGTTTCCAGTAAAAAAGGATCTCCGGTTCTCTACACTCATCATACGAAGCACAACAGTATTAAGCTATTTTACGCTGGTATTCTGTGAGACCGTGTTCCTTCCCCGGTCGAGCTGACCCATTGGTGCTGAGTAGCTACTGCTCATAACTTCAAACAAATAAGGGTATAGTTGGGTGGTCACCTCTAAGAACTAATATGAAACGTCACACAACATGTATACTGGCTCCCTATACCCTTCAGACCGAAATAAAGCAGTACCAGCACTGCTATTTGACTTCAGCAAAAGGTAAGACAACCGATGTTGAAGAAAGGATCTCGAGTGGCAGCCTCGTATCGATAGGTGAAGAGCAGAGCGGCCCCCCACTGGACGGAGTGGCGATCTGGATAGACATGCAGGGTGTCGATGGATGCAGGTGACTCAGGACCGTGCTTTGTGGCATTCCTTGGGGGAGGCCTATGTTCAGCGGTGGACTTGTTAGGGCTGTGTCGACCGGGCTGAAATTTATTGGCATACGGTTGCCTCAGAAGGATTTTGATCCATAAAGGTCTATCAAACAATTTGTCAGGTTTAAGGCTACATTTAATATCGTAAAAAAATATTGCGGAAAATGTTCCCGAAGCAGATTAATTTTTCAATGAAATACGATATTTAATATTTCAATTCAACTCGTACAAAAAATTTTTATTGCTATTATTTTAAAGATTTGGATTCGTAGTTTTATGTGTAAATAATCGTATTATCAAAATAAATTATAACTAGCCTATATCTCAAAAAAATACACAAAAATTTCGGCGTGGCCTGTCAAAGAGTCACCATGTTGTTGAAGCATTTAAAATATTCGCCTAACAAATAATGACTGGTGGTCACCAAGAGCGAAAATTCTAACATAATTCATAAAATTGTTAAGACCGTAACTCATAAATGTTAAGAATATTAAACAAACATACAAAATATGAAATAATATAATATCCCCGCCTAAGGGTACTAGTGCCCGCCTAAGGGTACTAGTGTTCTGTGATAATATGTATGTCGGCTACCATCTCCACTCTGTGCGACTGTTTCACCCCAGATTATTATGGATTTCACATTGACAGTAAACAATTAATGTTTTATTTTCACACTCCTCGGTGGGCGCAGTACGCTTTAAAAAGAGGTACAAAGTTTTCTCTTCACGTATTACGTAACATGTGTCTTCATGTTTGACATAGATTAAAATAATCTATTTTCATGGAATCCATAATACTGCTTCTGAATTTCATTTTATATATTATATATAATAAATTAAAACTAACTTGACTGCTTGGTTGGTCCAATGGTTGTAAACAGGTCCAAAATCCCGCCACCGTACCTCGGAAAGCACATAAAGCCGTCCGGCGCCTGATCTCTTGCCGGTCGTGACGGAACACCGTTTCATCGGACTATGAGAGTGAGAGAATAGAAGTGCAGTGGTGCTTGCCACAGAAATAGTAATAATAAGACAATAGAAGTAAATTAGCGCTCGATTACTTCCAAAACCGATGTCGCCACATCTTACCGTATTATAAACATACGCATCTAATGTTTCACATTACATTGCTTGGCGAGTTTGTCAATGTAGAACAAAAGCAGCAATGGTAATTGTACAATACGAAAAGAAATAAATGAAAGTTTAAAAAGGTAAATATCATAGTAAAGTATTTATCTAAATGTAATGATGTATATTAGTTGAAGATGTAAATTAGTTAAAACATTATACAAATTAGTAAATAATCAAATTACCGATGAAATGTTATTTATGCCCTTATTAGTTGAATTACACGTCCTTGATGAGTTTTAACAACTGATTATTTTGCAGTTCACCATTATAAATTTATAATAACATAAATTCACATACGACGTTCCCCACACAACTAAATCACAAAATGGTGAATTATGTTCGTCAACACATGATAGCGGCGACAAGGTCACGCGTCTATGCGACTTCTGTTGTCTTATTATTACGCTTTCTGTGGTGCTTGCACATAACTCGGGCACTTTATTCCTGTCCTGTACCCTGTCCTGTGTCCTGTCCTGTGTCCCGTCCTGTGTCCTGTCCTGTGTCCTGTCCTGTGTCCTGTCCTGTGTCCTGCCCTGTGTCCTGTCCTGTGTCCTGTCCTGTGTCCTGTCCTGTGTCCAGCCCTGTGTCCTGTCCTGTGTCCTGTCCTGTGCCCTGTCCTGTGTCCTGTCCTGTGTCCCGTCCTGTGTCCTGCCCTGTGTCCTGCTCTGTGTCCTGTCCTGTGTCCTGTCCTGTGTCCTGCCCTGTGTCCTGTCCTGTGTCCTGTCCTGTGTCCTGTCCTGTGTCCTGTCCTGTGCCCTGTCCTGTGCCCTGTCCTGTGTCCTGTCCTGTGTCCTGCCCTGTGTCCTGTCCTGTGTCCTGTCCTATGTCCTATCCTGTGTCCTGCCCTGTGTCCTGTCCTGTGTCCTGTCCTGTGCCCTGTCCTGTGTCCTGTCCTGTGTCCTGCCCTGTGTCCTGCCCTGTGTCCTGTCCTGTGTCCTGTCCTGTGTCCTGTCCTGTGTCCTGCCCTGTGTCCTGTCCTGTGTCCTGTACTGTGCCCTGTCCTGTGTCCTGTCCTGTGTCCCGTCCTGTGTCCTGTCCTGTGTCCTGTCCTGCGTCCTGTCCTGTGTCCTGTCCTGTGGCCTGTCTTGTGTCCTGTCCTGTGTCCTCAGATGGCTTGTCTCTGTTGAGAATGGCTGCCTGGATCGAAACTCTGACTGGAGGACGTTATTAATTTAAAATTTTGTTTTTATTTTAAATTATTCCTATTGTACAGGTAGTTTTCTATGTTATAGAAGAATTTTAGAAACATACATTTTTCTAAACATCTCCTTTACAAGAATTGAACTCGCAACCCGCCACCGCACCGCACCGACCGCAAGAACGCAATCAAATCCTTGGTCGTCGTTGCCATTATCAACACGATAATGATACTCACTGCAGAGCTTTATAAACTTTACCTAAATTATAATGAAGGCATCAATACATGAACAAAAAATTTATTAGTCATTTGAATTTTAGTAGTCTGCACAAGTATACAATGCACTAATGTATTTTTGTTCAGTTCTGCGTTTTTAGTGTTTTCAATTACGTTACTGCAATAAATTTTGCACAATAGTATATGGTTATATAAAAAACGTTAGATTGCATTCGGAATTACGGTATTATTTAACGACTCTACTACTTAATGAATGGTAAACGTTCAAATTGACGGGGTAAATAATAAATGGGAAAAAAGAAATCGGATTAATTTAAAAATATTAACCGATGTCAATCATCATTGGATCGCCTGCGGTAGGAGGTATCTATCTATCACTATACTGCCTAATTACTCACCACAGGAGAATGTGGACTTCATACGTAAAAAGGGAAGTAAATAATTGTGAAAATTTATTTGCAATTATACTACCGCCCAAACACACAGACATTTACTTCTTCTTACCTACTTTGTACATTTTGATGTCCAATACTTAAGAAAAGGAGAAAGTATTAAAAGTTAAAGTGTTAAAAGTATTAAAGTGAAAAAAATATTGCAGAACCAAAATCCAAATTTTATTTTAAAATAAAAATATTAGCAATGCTATTTACATTACCAATATTACCGTAAATCACCCGTGGTAAGCTTAAAATGCTTGTGCTAGGCATGATTCACGACAATAGTCAAATGGCGGATTCGAACCCACGACTTATTAACTTTGCGCTCCGTACCTTTAATGGACGTCATATATGGTCAGTTCAACCGATTAGTTCAAACTAAAAACTGTTGATATTTTTTAAAATAATGGATTTTCGATATATCGATAAATAAAAAATATATAATATATAATAACGATAATAAAAAAACTTATATATAAAAATCCGATATTGATGTATTTATTATTATCAATATATCGAAAATTTAATGTTTTAAAAAATATCGACGGTTTTAGTTTGAACTGATCAGTTAGAATGATCAGTTGAACTGACCGTGTGTGGCGTCCTTTAGACTACAGGCGCTTGGTATATCGTATATCTCAAAGCGAAAGCGGAGGGAAAGTGCGTGTTAACTATTAATAGCTAGACTGCTTGACTACAATTCCATCTGGTAGTAATTGGTGAAGAAAAAGCCAATTCACTTTTGTTTTGAAGATACCCAAATTATAATAGAATAGAAAGAGAGCTGGCAAATTATTTCACTCCTTTCTGTACGCATACAAAGACAAGGCAAACCTTTTTTTTTTCGTTAGCTTGGAATATCGTTTATACGTGGTGGAGCCACGCTGCAGCTATTATGGTTGTAGCATGAATGGGTCAACTCGACCGGGGAAAGACCATGCTCCCACAGAATACCAGCGTACAATAGTAGCTTAATGCTGCTGTGTTTCGTATGGTGAGTGTAGAGGACAGGAGACCCTTTTTACAGGAAACGAGGCATTCCGTCTTAGTCCTCAGGGCTGGCAACGCATCTGTATTTGATTCCTAATCGAGGATAAATGTAGATATCTATGGGCCACGACATCCACTTAACATCAGTTGGACTATGATGTCACCCTTAGTTTTTAATATATAGTATATTATTAAAAAAACTAAAGATAATAAAATAATATCACATACTGATAAGCACCGGCTAAGATTAAAGCCACGACTTCAGGTTTTGAAATTGTTTTTTTCGGTTAAGTTGTTGGAGGTCGGGTCTTTATTAAAAGTTTAATTTTTTATCTCTCTCGAGTAGATTAAGAAATATTCGAGCTTAAATGTTATTTAAATAGTTACGTTAAAACTTCACCCTTAGAGGTGAATTTGTTTTCAAAATTAAATGGGGCCAAGCCTAATGTCTATATTTAAAAATGAATCATCAAAATCGGTGTATCGAGCATAATTTTTTCATAAGAGAGTTCCCAGTTTTATGTTAAGTCAGCTACTAAGGTCTACAATGCCTAGTCAGAAAACAAGTTTTCACAGATGGTAGAGCCACGCTAAACTAACCCTAAACACTAAAACCAACCCTAAAGTCTATAATTAAAAAAGAATCATCAAAATTTGTGTATCGTTCACTATATTACATTTAAAAAAAAAAACATAAAATCTAATTAAGAATCTTCTCCGTTTTATAAAGTCGGCTACTAACGTCTATAATACCTAGTCTACCTAGTAAGAGTTTTCACACATGGTTGAGCCACGCTACAGTATCATTACGACGGTAGTAGTTTGTACTACCGTCATAATCATCAGTTTGGCCCTTCTCTGATCAGCTCGATCAGAGAAGGGCCACACTCTCACGAAATACCAACACAAAAAAGCACTTGTATGCTTTTCAATGAAAACGATCCATCCATTTTAATTCTGTCTTCCATTCTAGTCCTCAGGAGTGACAACTCATCGACATTTTGATTCTTAATTGAAGATAGATGTACACGTGCCACAGCACTCACTCACCATCAGGTTGACTGTGTGCTCGTTTGTCGCCCTTATTCTATAAAAAGTATAATTATAATAATTTTTGTTTACCAGTATAAACCAGCGTTTAACTACTGTTAAGTGGTAATGCAACCGAAGGTGGCTTAAGCTCACTGACTTAACAAAAGCCTTGAAAATAGCCAAAACTGATACAACAATATCTATTATTGCATCAGTATTTATTGTTGTATCAGTTGTATTCTGTTCTATATCACCTTCATCATCACCATCACCACCACAGCCCTTCACAAGTCCGCAGCTGAACAAAGGCCTCCCCTAACAAATGGAATGGCATAAACGTATGCTACCTGCATCCATCAATCACAACATTATGCTTATCAGTATGAGGCTGCCTCCCCAGAACTTTTCTTCCTCATCAGTTGTCCGTTCGTCGAACTATATGGCTGGCCAATTGAAACTTCAGCTTACTGATTCGATAGGCTATGTCAGTAAATCTGGTTCTACTGCAGATATCATATCTCACTAAGCGACCTTAATCCAACATAAGCACACCCGTTACTAGTCAGCTACTGAACACAGATGTCACAAAGCACAGTCTATCTAGTCTATCAATATTCATTGATATCTTACTTCTTTTACACAAGTTTTACGTGGTAGAGTCACGCTACCGCTATATAGTTGTAGCACGGTTGAGTAGGCTCTGCCGGGGCAAGACCACGCTCTCACAGAATACCAGCGTAAAATAGCAACTTAACACTGCTGTGCTTCGTACGGTGAGTGTAGAGCATCAAAGAACTTTTTTACTGTAATTGAGGCATTCCATCTTAGTCCTCAGGGGTGACAACGCATTTTCATTTTGATTCGTAATCGAGGATAGATATAAATATCTATGAGCCACACCAACCACTTACCATCAAGTTGACTGTGTACTCATTCGTCACTTAATGCTATAAAAAGTGGTAAAATAAAATTAAAAAAAAATCCAAATCGGTTCAGGCGTCTTCGAGTAATGTGTGAATGGTGAGCATAGAAAAAAAATTAAAAAGGTTCCGACGAATTGAGAACCCCTCCTTTTTTGCAGTTGGTTGAAAATCGTTCCAACATCTAGAAGAGAGCATTTTTATACCGTATTGTGCATGACACTGCACATTCTAAAGTAGTGATAATATATCTTTGATTATACTGTGACAACTTGTTTTCCCTTCGGTTCTACAAGCTTTAATCTGCATCAGTCTGTAAATAATTACCGTTACCGTAACCGTTACAAACAATCAAATGTCCATTGCTGAACATAGGCCTCCTCCATAGACTCATAGGGGGGATTTGCCATAGTTGTCAAGTTTGCCTGCCTAGTTACACTGCATTTTTTTATTGGATACGGGTGACAAACGAGCATACAGTTCACTTGATGGTAAGTGGATGCTGTGGCTCATAGACATCTATATTTAAACTCGATTAAGAATCAAAATACACATGCGTTTTCACCATGGAGAACTAAGATGGGATGCCTCGATTTCAGTAAAACGGGTCTCCGGTTCTGTACACTCACCAATCACCATACGAAACAAAGCAGCATTAAACTGCTATTTTACGCTGGTATTCTGTGAGAATGTGGTCCTTCCCCGGTCGAGCCGACCCATTCATGCTAAAACCATAATAGCTGCGGCGTGGCTCTCACGTATAATTATTTTATTTATTTTTTGTCGTTATAACACGCTGCTGCTTTTTAAGCATACTGTATAATGCAATTCCTTAAGGAAATGAGTTATAATGCTGTTATTTATCGAGTGTGGGGTTGGAACCACGCCCATGCCTTGGTTCATTACTACCCCACTACGAGGTCAACGATCGCCACACCTCTGAAGGGTCGCCGATATAATACGGTATTAAAAATACTGATACTTATAGAGAATTTGAACAATTAAGAAAGACATACGCATACCACTTTTAGGTTAAATAAAATTTATCTGACTTAACAAAAATCTTTCTTTCCTAATGTAAAGTATACCTCCATAGTTGACTACTAACATTTAAAATGTGGTGATCAAAACGTATATATATATATATATGTATATATATATATATATACATATATATATATATATATATATATATATATATATATATAAATATATAAGTATATATATATATATATATATATACATATACACATATATAAATATTACATCTTGATGTTGGTAGGATAGCTTTTAGTACCTTTCATACATTTATTTTTAGAGAACACAGATTATACACTTTTTGATCACTACATTTATATAAGTTTATTTTAGTCGTAGACAGAGAAACCTATAGGCAAAATGACGCCTTCTTTCGCATTCGCACACGAAAAAGATAGATTTATGCATACGTCTTGCGTAGAAATGTGACTGAGCGGTGTGATTGTTTGTCCCTTTCTCCGTGCCGGTTTTTTTTGTTTAGCAAACTACACTTTGCTAAACAACTTTGACAGTTCGTAGCAATCTAAGAAGTTTACAAGTTGGTTTAAGTGAGAAAAAAGTGTTTTGTGAGCTTAAGATTGGTGAATCTTGTTCAGTTCAGTTCTTAGAACAATTAAAATTTTTATCTAAATATGTTTTAAAGTCATAAAGATTATTGTATAACCTAAAACTACATTATCGTCCTTTCTCACTCGAGGCCACGCTAATCATTAGTCTATAAGTTTCTCTGTCTACGATTTTAGTTGTAACTATAGATAATTATTATACTTTTTGGTCACTTTTCCTTTGACAACGATGACAACTATAAATATATAAATAATAATCTATCAATGACAATAACAATGTGTGAAGTGTGCTGCATTTTATCTCGGTTGTATAAATTTTCGAAAAACAATGCCTCGATTGTAGATTTCATTTAAATTATCGATCATAATTAGCTAATCCTGTTTTAGTAGGTACTGCATAGCTGTCGGCCACAGATTTAATTCCTTTTAAGAAAAACATTTTTGTTTTGGTTTTTTGGTATTAAATCTATAAAATTTTAAATAAAATAAATACGTTTACGTAGCACAGAAGATTTCAAAACTTCACATAATTAGGATGCATGCAAAGCGTTCCAAAAGCAACAATTAAAAATGACAGAGCAAGCAATAACACTCGATGAAAAAGTGCGGGACGCAATAGATATTTTTTTATTCACTAATGGTGAAAAGCATTCTCCACCACGAAAATATCATCTGAACATGGATGAACTTAAGACATGGGATGGTACACTGTCATATTTAGGGCGATCACAATTCGGATCACAGTAAGCGTGTATATTTTTCATTTATCTAAATATTTACTATACTTATTTTTTGTTAATAATTATGATTTTCCCGTTTAGTGGCGATCAAAAATAATAGGCGTCCCCTGAATTCGTCCCACGGGCGTCGTCAATGTCGATTATAGACAATGTCAGAAAGAACTTACGGCTACCGATGGACGGCGATATACGCCAGGCGTAAAATAACCAAATCGGAAGAAGATTAAAAACGTTAAAGATACACCTTTTTTATACTCGTAGAATAAGGATGACAAACGAGCACACAGTCCACCTGATGGTGAGTGAATGCTGTTGCCCATGGACATCTACACGTATCCTCGATTAAGAATTAAAATGCAGATGCGTTGTCACCCCTGAGGACTAAGATAGAATGCCTCGTTTCCACTAAAAAGAATCTCCGGTTCTCTACACTCACAATACGTAACACAGCAGTATTGAGTTGCTATTTTACGCTGATATTCTGTGAGTATCTGATACTGTTATCGTCAATGCTTCTGTCAAGCAAGACCCTTAAGACAAACCCTTCCTACAAGAGGAGAGGCACTTACCAAGCAGTAGATTTTTACGGGTGTTGATGAGAATTTATATCTTTCAGGCATACAAATATAGAAATTTATACGACTGATGGACAAAGACTTGATGGCCTGTTACAGCTCGTTCATCATGCGGCTTATGTTGCTGTTGAACCACCTTGTAAATTCATTCAAGCCGGATATGAAAATTATATCATTAAAGCTACACGGTGAGCATTCAAAGAACAATTTTTAACTTAACACCTATCCTACCTACTGGGAATTTGTCCTGTACGGTGTTGTCTTTTTAATAATAATAAATAATAATGGGCAATCATTAGGTTCCAAAACAATTAATTTTAAGTCGTACATTTGTATAAGTATTTACTTGTTCCATTCTAGAAACAAGTCCGCGGCTTGCAGCACCACATTTAAACATTTCACCGCTGCGATATTGGACCATTGTTGAAATTTGTTTCTTACATTATTTCAAATCAAAATAAATATTGCATACTAAAAATCCAACCGCATTAGAACGTGTCAAAAACTTTTAATCTTCCCTTTCTTGCTCATAAGTAATCCACATGTGTACATGCTCCCCCCACATGTTGCAGAGAAACTTATTGGAATTGATTAACATGGAAGGCATTGAGTTTAACATGCAAAGCAAAATTTGTCATACACAAAGTTCAAAAATGTATTAATATTGATAAAAATATTTGATAATGACCCCTGGATAGGGTCATCGCTACCAACCTATTTCTAATTTGTCTTGTGTTGTTAATTGTAAACATGATTGTAAGCTGTTATTGGAGAAAAACAATAGTCTTGCTAGGTTTCTTGCTGCTTCTTCCCAGAACAGAGGATTTTTTTTTTGAGAACCAGTGGTAAACGAAAAAAGTGACTTTCAATAAGTATTGTTATAATCTACATTGAATAAAAAAGTTTCTGTTTTTGTTTGGTTGGCGATAACCGTACCAGACGTCTGACAACTCTGAAACTTTATTTTGGCTTCGTTACTTATTATTTTTTTTACCTTATTTTACAAATTAACTTCACAGCTTTCACGCGTCTTCATACATAATGAAACTATCAATATTTTATAGGTCATGGGAAAGGAGACTGTCTAAAATTACCAACAGTCAGAAGTCACCAATAAATAGTAGGTGTAATTTTAATTATTTTTTATTGGTCACACGTACTTTTGTATTCTAAATAATTACGTTTTTAGAAATTGATTTATTAAATGACGAAATATATTACCTACTAAAAATATAACAACTATCCAATTATAATAATATACATGCAGTCGATGAATATAGGCCACCTCGAAACTGGTAAAAATATTCTGATACTGATGCCCAATCTTTTTACAATAACCTTTATTAAATTACGTATTTAAAATTTTGCAATACGAAATTATTTAATACTGAAAGATATTTTTTTTAGATGACATAAAAAATGTTGCATGTGCAAATGTAAACTTCCAAAGTAACCAATCTTGTGTTCAAAGTAATAGAGTAAAAGTGGTATGTAAACCAATAATATTATTTTTCATTATAATTTGACTGAAGTCATAACTTACTCATATTTGAAATTTGCAGTCAAGAATCATTAATTCAAATGATAATAAAACAAATAGAATAAAACCTTCTACTGTAGATGCAAAACAAACGCAAGATTATGACAAAACTAATAAATTTAACAAGCCAGCTAAACAAACAGAAATGAAGAAAACATCTTTTATTCCACAAACTACTGGATTAAAACAAACTAATGCCCCTTTTAAAGTAACAACTTTTAAAAGAGTACCAATTAAAACAAAGGATAGTTTATGCAAGAAACCCTTGAATATAAAGAAAACTTTTCCAGGGAATACTAAGGAGAAAGTTACAATTAGTAGAACAAGTGACAAGAACATAGTCCCATCTTGTACTATTACAAGTTTAAATGTTATCGAGACAAAACTTCAGAATGTAGTCCAGTCTCAAAAAACAACTCCAACAAAAGTTAATAATCAATTTTCAAATAAGAATAAAGAAGACATAACTACTAAAGAAAACGTAGTAATTTCCAATATTTATAAAAACCCAGAAAGTGGATTTACGTCAAATAAAGAGATAGAGCGCAATGATAAATCGAATGAAAGCATTAATAAAATTCTAGAAAGTGAAGCGGAGTCAACGAATGGTGATAAGACGTCTATTACTTTTTTAGAAAATAACTGCAGTAAAAAGTCATTTATCTGTAACACAGGCCCCGATGACCAAAAAGAACTAACCCATTATAACGAAATAAATGCTCCTTTACAAAGCCCTAGAGTACTTTCTGCGGAAAAACAAAAATCTAATTCTACAGTTCCATATTGCTGTGTATCGTTGAAACAATTAGATCACTTTGTAACAATATCAAACAATGATAAAATAATTAAACTCCAAATAAATTTAGAAGTCACCAACTGTAATGTTGCAGTTTCAACTGAACAACGAAACAGTGATGACAAAAGTCAGCTATTTAAGAATAGAACCAAAGAAGAGAAAGAAATCCAAGTTGATCTAGATTTACAGTCAAGTGAAGCTGTCCAATGTAGCAGTAACTGGATTCAACATAAAACGAAAGAACCTATTTTGGCTGGTGAAATAGTGAGAAATATAATGAATGATGACAGCAAAATCATAATTATTCATTGTTCATGCTGTGATTGTACTGATCTACGTTACCTTTTGAAATCACAATCACATATTAAATGTAGCACGTATAATGAAAAAATTACCCATGATTTGGTTCCAGTAACCAAAGAGGATAACGAAAGGTATTATTTAAGTATACTTAAAAATAATATAGACGCCAATTTAATTAAGCTCAGTTTGTTCCCGTCTATGTTATATTCCGATTATTAACGAGTACCTAAATTTTAGGTGTGAATGTAAAAATTTCTTTTTGGAGTCAGAATGTCCAGAAAAGTTGCCTTCAAATGAGCCCATTTCTTGTTCCAAATTAGAGCCTTCTGTGGAGAAAACTTTAACTGTTACTTCTGTGCATAAACTAACATCATGTTATTCCGAATCTGGTACATGTACTTCTACAGTGAATCAAGAACAGGTAAAAATGTTGAAAAGTTGGTACTCAAATAGACTTTGCATCTGAGAGACAAGGCGCTGGCCTTAATTTTTGTCAAATACTAAGAGAAGTAAAGAAAAGATTACAATGGTCTTTTAAGTCCGCTGGGCAATCATGCAAGCTGCTAAGCCACTTCAGCAGCGTAATATACTTTTACGTGTGCCCCATTTTGTGTCCGGTAGTGAGACATAAAACCCTAGGCTAAAACTACTTTTTTGCATAAACTAATCTTTCTATGTTATATACACATACATAGTTGTCGTGTATTTCTTACTTCATTAACCTACCTATTATATATCAAACTGACCCACCAGTTCTACTGTTAGATATAGGTCAGTTTGATATAAGTGTCTTAGGCACTAATAAAACACAATATTCAGAAAGATTTGTACATACTCACAGGAAAGTTCGGGAGGGAAAAAAAACCGCGCCGATGCTCTCGTACTTGGTAATGCTGCTACCCAATGGCACATATATTGTTTTGAAGTGAAAACTTCTTTAGGCACGTTGGACACTTTTGGTATGTGTAAAATGGACTGAAATCGCGTGACCGTTACGCTAAGACACATAAAATTGATAAAAGTAATGTTGAAAATCCACTTGATTTTTTTAAAAATTGATATGTATTTATAAATTAAAAAATAATCATTCTTTTTCATGTAATAAATGAAAATTTTATTACTATATTATTACATTGATAAAAATAATACCTAATAAAAAATAATTCCCAAAAAATATTTCTTAACAACCAAAAATAATGCTCACAAGTTTGTGAAATTAAGAAGTTTTCACTTCTGACGGACAGTCCTACGACTGATAGTTTCTTTTATAGAGTAAGGATGACAAACAAGCACAAAGTCCATCTGATGATCAGATGTATGCTGTAGCACATACGTAGACATCTACATATATCCTCAATTAAGAATGCAAATGCGTTGCGTGCGTTGTCAGTTGTACTAAGATGGAATGCTTCGTTTCCAGTAAAATCGGCTTCTCTACAGTCAACATACAAAACACAGCAGCATTAAGCTGCTATTTTAGGCTGGTATTCTGTGAGAGAGTAGTACTACTCCGGTCGAGCGGACGCATTCGTGCTACAACAACAATATAGGCAGCGTGCCTCTAACAACTAAAACACATATACCCTTCCTTTTCTGTCTAAGAGTCCGTTTAGGTAGGTACATGCTAGTACGTGGTAGAGCCATGCTGCAGCACGAATGGCTCAGCTCGACCGGCGAAGGACTACGCTCTCACAGAGAGCAGCTCAATGCTGTTTTTGTTTTGTATGGTGAATGTAAAGAACCGGAAACCCTTTTAACTGGAAATGAGGCATTTCATCTTAGTCCACAAGAGTGGCAACGCATCTGCATTTTGATTCTTTATGGAGGATAGATACAGATGTTTATGTGCCACAGCATCCACTTACCATCAGATACTGTGGACTGCGTGCTCGTTTGCCACCATTATTCTATACAAGAAAAAACATATTTTTAAATGAATATATGATATATGCATATAGATGAGGTTGGAATTTAGAGAAGAGGTTTATTGATATACCCAATTAATATTTCTTTAGCATTTGTGGATGAAAGTAAAATGAATTGATAAATAAGTAATACTTGAAACATTTTATAGGGAGACTTCAATAAAGAAGTTGTAAAAACTAAATTTTTGGACCTAACGGCAGAAAATCAAACTTTGAAGGATTTTGTTAACAGAGATACACAAACAAGCTGGTGTAATGTGCTGGTATTTAAAAATCTTCAGTAGTTTATGTCTTAATTCAATGCTTATAAAATTGTGTGTAGATTGCAATAATTAATATTGGCAATATCATTAATTTATAGTTGGAGGCAAGATATCATGAAGACGGTCGGTATACCTTCCATCTGCCAACGCTCCACAAAATAAAAGAATATGGTCTCTGATTAAGAGAATATGCGTTGAAAGTTTTATTACAAGTTGAATGAACAATAATAATTACCTGAATACGAAATGTAAGGAAATAATTGGTAATGTAAGGACAGACTTTGTTTTTAACGCAGATTTGTAAATTTTTAATCGATCTTCATAAAGCTTGAGCTTCCTGACAAGTATATTTATCGACTTTTGTGACATATATTTGAGTTGAGTTTCAGTAAAATACTGTAGATTCTGCGGGTCCATGGTCTGCATTACCTAAAAGTATAAAATACAAAATTTACTACTTACATGAAGGTAAATAATATTAGAAATTGAACTTATCTGTGTCGTGTTATTATTTGATATACTTTTAGCAGGATTTACTACACTGGTCTAACATTAATATTCCTTAATATTCGCTATACATCGGTAAGCTCCAAAATATTATGGGGAATTTTTAAGTACGTCATAGAAGATACTTCAGTTAACGATTGGTCTATTGTCATTTTCCGTTCTGTACAAACTAGGTATGATACTTTGTATCTAAAACATGAAGATACCAGCGAAATTTCTTTCTCTGTTTCTTCTCCACTCATTCAAGGATCTCATTTTAAAACGATAGTAGATTAGCAGTATGGAGTGTAAAAGTAAGGAGTACCAACTCCCATAGTAGAATAGTTGAAAAAGTGGTCATCTGTAAGCAGTAAATAACAGTTCAAAAACTCTCCACAACAGCGCTGGAGTAGCTACTGGGATGAAATGAACTTAGCAGTTTCGACGGTTTGAAGTGTGCTGCTAAACTGCTCAGTAGCTCTAAAATCTAAAATAATTTTATTTAGTAAATATAACCTCGAAAAAGTCGTCTATCCCACTAATATTTTTCGGTGCGTTCTTTAAAATTTACCCCGTAGCTATATAGTGGCGCCACCTTATTTAAAGGTTTTTATGGACACTTTTTAATACACAGTCTGTACTCCTTACTTCTACACTCCATATTTAGCAGGTTTAAAAAATTACATTTGACAAACTAAATGTTTTTCTTACGTCAAAGAATTAAAGATATGTAATTCATTTCATCTAAAGAATTAAATTCACACACACAAGATGTTCATGTAAGTATGTAATATATTATGTTTAGGATCGATTTTCCATTCATCAGATAACCGTCAAATAAATTGTAATCTGGCTGAATATAAAAGTGTAAAAATCCACGACTTTTTCTACCACAAAGGCATCGCCACTTAAAATGAGTTGTAATAACGGAAAAAAATATATTTGTTTGATCGTATTTTATGCGTTGCTAAACCGTTTATCAAATTACGGCAAGTCAACTTATTGCTGGCACCTGGAGTAATATGTTACCATACCTAATTAAACAATTTAAGAGGAAATATAACCTCAAATGGCTTAGCAAGATCCTCCGTTATGCCGAAAATACTGCAGCATTAATTTTGAAATAAATATATAGTAAAGTTGAGGATGAGTATGAGTAAAGTTGCCGTGTAGTGGCGGTTGAGAATATCCACTACCCCATATCTTCCCGTGGGTGTCGTAAAAGGCGACAGGAGGACAGGCAGGAGATGGGCAGCAGCATCTTCCTGATAACAACTGTGACGTAATAAAAAACTGCGGTTGCCAACCCGCTCGCCAAGCGTGGCAACTATGGCAAATACCCCCCAATGAATAAATACACAAACAGACGGCCCCCAGTCCCCGGCGGCCCCGCTATTCCTGGCTACGGTGGCGACCATGGTAACGGCGGGGCAGGGGGTGCTAAGAATCTCCGGTGGAGGTTCGGTTGCCACCTACGACGACTCGACCTGGCAACATACAACGCACGCACCCTGAGGACTGACGAGAAGATACTAGAGCTGGAAGAAGAGGTAGACAAGTTGCGCTGGCATATTATTGGATTATCCGAGGTCCGAAGAGAGGGGGAGGACACGGCAATCCTCGAGTCCGGCAACTTGTTCTATCACCGGGAGAGCGACCATCTGTCCCAAGGAGGTGTCGGATTTATCGTCCACAAGTCTCTCGTCAACAACGTTGTAAAGATTGGGAGTGTGTCGACGAGGGTCGCGTACCTGATACTCAGAATCACCAAACGGTATTCGCTGAAGGTCATTCAGGTTTACGCACCAACCTCGGCACATCCCGATGAGGAGGTGGAGGAAATGTATGAGGATATTTCCAGAGCCATACATTCCTCCAAAACCCACTACACGGTGTTGATGGGAGACTTCAACGCAAAACTAGGCACAAGAGAAAGCGGTGAGCTGAAGGTAGGGAAATTTGGAGTAGGGCAACGGAACCGAAGGGGCCAGCAGCTGGCCGACTTTATGGAGAAAGAGGGACTCTTTATGATGAACTCTTTCTTCCAGAAGCGGCCCCACAGGAAGTGGACCTGGTCGAGCCCCGACGGTTCGACAAAAAATGAGATTGACTTCATTATGACGACCAGACGCCAACTGTTCAGTGATGTCTCAGTGATCGCAAGGGTGAAAACTGGCAGCGATCACCGAATGGTTAGAGGCACACTGAACCTAAACGTTAAGTTGGAGAGGTCTCGTCTAATGAAGTCAACGCTCCGTCCCCCTCGTGCTCTAATCCAGAATCCCGAAACCTTTCAGCTCGAGTTACGTAACCGCTTCCAGTGCCTAGAAGATTGCAATGCAGTGGACGATATGAACGACAAGCTCGTGGAAACTGTCCATGCGGTCGGAGCTAAGTTCTGCAAGACCCGCCGCAGAAGAACACAAAAACTCTCCGAGCACACTCTTAATCTCATGGCTGTTAGACGGGAGATGAGGCTGCAATCGTCAACAGATTTGACAGCATACAGGCAACTGAACAGACAGATCTCCAAATGCATGCGGCGAGACTTACGCAACTTTAATACTTCTCGTATTAAAGAAGCGATCGAGCGGAACCAGGGCTCCAAAGTCTTTGCCAGAGATCTGTCTGCCAGAAAGAGCCAACTGTCAAAGCTGAAGACTGAGTGTGGCAACATCGTTTCCGGGACACCTGAGATTTTGAGTGAGATTGAGAGGTTCTATGGGCAGCTGTACACATCATCGTTGGAGCCACACGCAAGTGTGAGTAACGATCGAAGAGCAAGTCTTATCCGACACTATTCCGATGATATCCCGGACGTCAGTCTGAGCGAGATTAGAATGGCTCTCCACGACCTTAAAAACGGCAAGGCCCCGGGCGAGGATGGAATTACAGCGGAGCTTCTGAAAGCGGGTGGAAAACCGGTACTTGAAGTCCTTCGGAAGCTCTTCAATTCCGTCCTCCATGGTGGCACTACTCCGGAGGCGTGGAGCAGAAGCGCGGTGGTTTTGTTCTTTAAGAAAGGCGACAACGCTCTCTTGAAGAACTACAGACCGATTTCCCTTCTGAGCCGCGTCTACATGCTATTTTCGAGAGTCATTACGAATCGTCTCGCACGCAGACTCGACGACTTCCAGCCTCCCGAACAAGCCGGTTTCCGAAAAGGCTTCAGTACCATAGACCACATACATACCCTGCGGCAGATTGTACAGAAGACCGAAGAGTACAATCTGCCACTTTGCCTGGCATATGTGGACTATGAGAAAGCCTTTGATTCCGTCGAAATTTGGGCGGTGCTACAGTCCCTTCAGCGGTGCCAAGTCGACTGTCGGTACATCGAAGTGCTGAAGTGTTTGTACAGTAGGGCTACGATGGCTATCCGAGTACAGAACCAGAGTTCGAAACCTATCCAACTGCAGAGAGGTGTAAGACAGGGTGATGTTATATCCCCGAAACTCTTCACCGCTGCGTTGGAAGACGTTTTCAAGCTACTGGACTGGAAAGGATACGGTATTAACATCAATGGCGAGTACATCACTCACCTTCGATTTGCCGACGATATAGTCATTATGGCAGAATCGCTGGAGGACTTAAGCATTATGCTCAATGACCTCAATAGTGCCTCCCAACGGATAGGTCTTAAGATGAACATGGACAAAACAAAGATCATGTTTAATGTCCATGTCACACCTATGCCGGTAGTTGTTGGGAGCACTGTGCTCGAAGGTAAGTCCAACTTCGACCGAGAGGTCAATCGACGGATTCAACTCGGCTGGGCAGCGTTCGGGAAATTACGACATATCTTTTCGTCAGGTATACCTCAATCTCCAAAAACTAGATTGTACAACCAGTGCGTGTTGCCAGTGATGACTTACGGACCTCAGACGTGGTCCTTCACTGCTGGCCGTATGAGGACGCTTAAGGTCGCTCAGCGAGCTATGGAGAGGGCTATGCTTGGAGTTTCTCTGCGTGATAGACTCAGAAATGAGGATATCCGCAGTAAAACCAGAGTGACCGACATAGCCCAACGGATTAGTAAGCTGAAGTGGCAATGGGCCGGCCATATAGCTCGAAGAACCGATAACAGATGGGGAAGAAAGGTTCTCTAGTGGCAGCCTCGTACCGGTAGGCGTAGTGTAGGGCGACCCCCCACTAGATGGAGTGACGACCTGGTAAGACATGCAGGAAGTCGATGGATGCAGGTGGCTCAGGACCGTGCTTTGTGGCATTACTTGGGGGAGGCCTATGTTCAGCAGTGGACTTGTGAAGGGCTGTAATGATGATGATGATGATGAAAGTTGAGGATTAATGTTAAGGACTATGTTAGACGAAAACACGATTCCGTAAAATTTTCTCTATAGAAAAAAAATTCAAAGTTACTTCCAAAATAAACAAAAAACCGCTGTAATTCATAAAATACTTTAAATAAGATCATGAACCTTTGCATACTAATTGAACTAACTACAAAGCAATGCTTATGTTATTTACTTTTTTTAAATATCATTATTTTCACTGTAAAAAAAATTACCTAAACTATCGGCATCTTGAAGCTTGATTCCTGCCGCCCGGTCAGTTTCGCTTCGGCCTTTGAAGGGGGAAGTTGTGTCGCTTAAAATTAAAATGGGTAATAACCGTAATAAAAATAAGAATCGACTGGGTTGGCGTTAAGAAACAGGCATAAATATGATATACCTAATGAAATAAGTATCTAACGACCTATCTACTTACAGTATTAGTGATTACAAACATGTCGGTACATAGCATACGACGCGCGGGGAAATGGGTGCGAAATTAGAATTTGAGCTGACTTACTATATCCTCTTAACTCCCCCAAATTTAAAACGATATTTCCACAATCATCGTTATATATGAGTACATAATTATAACTCAATGTCCACAATCACTTATATTGCGGCAGCAACGCGCCCGGTACCAACTAGTATCTTATATTGATTAAATTAAAAATAAATAAACCAAAACACAGATATTCATAAAAGTAGAAAAATCTAAAAATGAGTTAAAATATACAAAAAAAGTTGAAGAGCTAACCACTGAGGTCTTATGTATTAATGTACCTAATATTCTAGAAACTATTATTTTAAATTAACTTTTATTTAAAACTTTTGTTTAGCAAAAAACTTCGCATGAGCACAGAATAAATAATAGTACTACGTAACCTGAGTGCCAACTAACGACATCTAGTAGGCAGAAAATTATTAATCCTGATTGAATTATTTTGTTCGTTCAATTGTAGTTTTTAATTTGTTGATGGTGTGTGTGAATAACTTTTATTTGAGGATTGATAAATCGACCTTTAGTATCTTGTAGTTAAATATTCAGTATTAAGATCTTTGCCTTATCTGTGCCTTATTTTTTGAATTGCAAAGAGTACTATTTAAAAGTTGTTGGTATTTATAACTGTTAAATAAAGTTATAACATTAAAAGTTACATGTGCAGTTATTCCAGCAACAGCTTCCGGATTAATGGCGCTTAGGTCAGGTCCTTCAACTTCTGCTAGAAGATACCCTAAGCGCGATACATCACGTGCATTCCAGCTATATGCCTTGCCCAGCGCCTGTTAAAATTTCATTAACAATATAACTGTTTTAAGAAAGTGATTTCTTATTCTGATTAGTGACGGTGATAACGTTCTTCTGGCCGACTTGGACGCTCATATTTTTATATTAATATTATTTTAACTGCTGTAATTTGTAAGTTACTTGTAAAATAAAAAACGAAATTCGTTTGTTTCTTTTTCTTTCTTTTGAAATAAATACTATCAATGCTACTAACTATACTTATAATTCCTTTAATATTTCCAGATAACGACTCTTTAAAATGATTGTGATATAAGTGATATACAAGTATACAACATAAGTCGAATGGCGGATTCGAAGGCACGACCTTTCGGTTCACGGTATGCTATCATTTGTAGCGTAAAAAACAAAATATTTTTCTTAAACGTAACATACAATATACTTATAATGCAAAATTTAAAACTCTGGTAGCGCTAAATATTTCTTTGGTGACGATGATTCAATCGCTTTTTTTAATTAATTTTTTATTTTATCACATTGCAGGACTAGTTTGTGGTTTTCATTCAAATTATATATAATATATATATATATATATATATATATATATATATATATATATATATATATCTGTGCTTTGCTTAGCTTGGAGATAGACTGATAGGATAGACTGATTAAGACCGCCTTTTTGTACTTCATGCATTCCTTCTTAGTCTTCAGGGGTGACAATGCATATGTAGCTTTTTAATTATTGTTTTTTTTTTATAGCAAAAGGGTGACAAGCGAGCACACAGTCCACCTGATGGTAAGTGGTTGCTGTGGCCCATAGACATCTACATCTATCCTCGTTTGCAAATCAAAATGAAGATGCGTTGTCAGCCTTGAGGACTAAGATGGAATGCCTCTTTTCCAGTAAAAAGGGTCTCCGGTTCTCTACACTCACCATACGAAACACAGCAGCATTAAGCTGCTATTTGACGCTGGTATTCTGTGACAGCGTGGTTCTTCCCCGATCGAGCCGACTCATTCGTGCTGCAACTATACAATGAATATAGCTTCATCATGGCTCTACCACGTAAAAAAGTTTTGCTTCAGGTGTTCATCAGGCTACTTAACATCAGGTGGACGTTTGTCACAAAAATTAACAAAAAAAAAATCTATACACGAACATACTACATACGCCCAGGCATTTGAAGCGTATTAAAGATGACTGACGGCGGCATACCCATTTTGTGCAAAGCAATCATTTAATTATTTAATTCTGTTGTAAAGTAAATTAGCACCGAGTTCATTGTGTGAAATTATTTTATTTTTAATAGAATCAATGGCTAAGTGAGTCCTACGTCACCGCAGATTCTAAAAAACCTGAGGATGCCTCGTGTAGAGGTGAAACACGTGTCGTATTATCGTCGATGGTGTTACTTTCCTAGTGTAGTGGTATTGGGAGTAGTGGTGGTGGTATTAATGGTAACGAGATTAGTGCACGCAATTGAGGGAGGGCGGGAAGTGCTCCTCAAACTAGGTAAGACACATCATTTTATTTTAATGAGCGGATATGTGCGAGGTAATTCTTACTAACTTTAATATTTTATTCTTTTTAACACCTACGGGATGATATGGGGTAGTAGATATTACTTACACCACCACTACGCGGTACGGTAAATTAGCTTTGTTTAAATCAAATTACCTGAGTTCTTGTCATCATAGCCAAATAAAACCGTCGCTGCAGTGGATCACAGGCGTGAATGTGGTAAAAAACCTGCAGAATTTAACATACAGTATAATTGTAAATTTGCCAATAATTTCAAATAAGGCGCCTATCCGTCCATTGAAATCTAAAAGAGTTTACTTTTATATAATTCAAATTTACTTTTTTAATTTCTAAAGTGAGTGAAATAATAATTAAAATGCTGCACGTCATTTCGAATTACAGGTTCATTTTCGGGATCACATTCCTATTCTGTATTAATGAGTTACTAATTATTTTGTTATTTCATAAAAGTTTAACCCTGGTATCAGTATAACCTTTGATTATCACATCGGATCTTCACTATGAACCCTTTTATAACCATATGTATTCTGAAAAACCGTCACTTATATCCCCTGAATTGTTGAGGCATTTTACATACATAAACCGGACATACATCCAGATCCGGAACAATGAAGTATAATGTACTCAAATACATCCGGAACGATTATTTGTAGGTCATATAAACATTTGACCGTGACCATGTGATGGCGGTAGTGCATGCTACCGCATATCATCCCGTGGGTGTCGTAAGAGGGCACAGATGGTAAAAACAGGAGATGGGCAGAAGCGTCTTCCTAATAATGACTTACTAACTGCTGTTGCCAACCCGCCTGCCGTGGCAACTATGGCAAATATCCCCCCTATGAGGCAATATATGGAGGAGGCCTATGATCAGCAGTGAATCTCAACAGCTGTAACTGTATATAAACATTTATTTCGTGTGGATTCGAACCCGCGGCTCCACAGTGAATGGTTAGCCATGAGGCAATTAGGCGAGTCGTTACTTTGGGGGAATTTTTTTTTAATATTTTTGATTATTAAAAAATATTACCTGATGCGAAAGCTGCAGGTAAGTATTCTCAGGAATTTGCCGCATAAACGTCATTGGAATTCCACAAATCAAATTGTTCATCAAATTTAAATACCTCGGCTCAGACCAGTGCTTATTCAACTTTATGTATCTACTTGCTACCACACCCACCTTTAAAATACTTAAAATATTTTATGTAATTCGTCATTAATTTTATATGAAAGTAAAGATAACTTGCTACAATCGTTAACGCTATAGAAAACTATGAAAATGAATACTTTCTACTGCTGAACATAGATCTCCCTCTAAATTGCCAAAGAAGGGTTTTAACATAGTTGTCACGCTTGGCAAGCGTGTTGGTAACCATAGTTTTTATTATTTAAGCGTTTTTCAGGAAATTGCTGCTGCCCATAACCTGTGCCGATTCCCTTCTGCCGCCCCCCTTCAACACCCACGGGACGATATGCAATAATGGATGATCTTGCATTGACACGAGATTTTATACAAATAATTTATGATAATATCTGACCGTAAGACACTTGATAGTCGCGCGACTTAGCGTTAAATTCATTCGTTTATATGGTTTCTATTAGCATAAACGATTGTAGAAAGTCAACTTGGCAAACTCCGTAACACCAATAACAATTATAGTATTAAGACACTTTTCACACCTTCCGTCCTTTATTCGAATATAATGATAACCTCCGGGCGGAACGGTATGCTCTTATCTCACTCCACCATCACACACCACAGCTGGACATATTTCGGTATTTTTTTTTAATTTTTGGACATGTTTTCTCCATCTTCGCCCACTTGGTAAATGAGGCTCTAGTTAACGACGAAAGGCGGTATTTCCAAGTAAAGCAAAGTTTTAGTGCCTTCTAACCCTCCTGCCGACCGAAGAGCGCGGGAAAACTTTCCAAGTCGCATGCCAGTTGCCGTATTCTTGAAAAGAGCTACAGCCAGCCAGTAACATACAGGGTTATTTTGCAATAACCGGCCAAATTTGCGGATACCGTTCAGAATAAGTAGGTATAGACAAATGGTGAAGAAAAATTAATAATAAAGAATATCAAACATTCAGTCCTTTTTATCTTTTAAATTTAAACTACGTGGTAATGCATTATTTTAACTGATTTTTCTAAAACAAGATAGTTCCTACTGTTGTATAAAAGAAACTGACGGCGACGGTAGTGTGGTGGGTGCAGCGGTGAAGCGCAAACACTTGAGATCGATCAAACCGCTCCATAGCCAAAGAAAATATACACTACGCGAACTATAGTGGAGGAGACGTATATAATAGGCCACGTACGTGTATATACGAAGTATATACTTCAAGATGTGTATAGGCCATGTAAATTTTCTACGTGTTGTAGCCATGCTGCAGCTATATATATATATATATATATATGATGTCTATGCGCCACAGCATCGACTTACCATCAGATGGACTATGTGCCAGTATACACAGGGTTATTTTACTATAACCGGCCAAATTAGCAGAGAATGTGCAAGAAGGTTAAGTTATTACTTAATAATTAATACAGGCAAATGGTAAAGAAAAATTAATTATAAAAAATCTCAAACGTCCTTTTTATCTTTCAAATATAAAATGCGTGGTAATGCATTATTTTAACTGATTTTACTGCTCACGTACACATTCGTAAGGGTCGATCGGTAGGCAAAAACGTTGTTGCTCATAAATCACATTAAATTTCTGGTAATTTCAAATAAAATTAGGAGCCTTATTTACTCGTATTTTCAAAAACAGCACTATCGCTATATAATTATGTATATATTTGAATTTATGTTTAAATATTTGGCTACTCTTTGATATATAAACATGTATAAGTTACAATTACTTGATAATGAAGAAAGAATAATTAATTTAAACGTATTTACCTGGTGTCTGTCTAAGCCGGCGTGTGTTCCGATGTACCTCAATATTCGGGTATCACTTAAGTTTAGCTTAGCGATATCTTTTCCGTTGAGATATTTGAACAACGGTCGATACATTTCTAGGGTTTGGTAAGTGATTTGATCAGTTCGCTTTTGTCCTTTAACTACAATCCATGTAGCCGCTAGCTTTTCGCGTGCTATTTTCATCATGGAAATTGCTCGGGCCTATTGGGAAATTAATTTTATATCACACTAGTGACCCTTCCCAGCTGCGCCTGGGTAAGATCTGTTCATTTCGCGTGATTTTCGATTTAAGCTAATTAAAGAACATTTTAATAATTTTTACTTTTTTCATTAAAAAACATCTTAAACATTTTAGGATAAAATATAACCTAGATCTTTCTTGGCATTGCTCTCGATCTGTTCGTAGTTTCATCATAAGCGGTTCAGCGATTCTAAGATTAGTCTGGATTTAAAGACAGCCAGACAAAAAGAAAAACATTTTAAAACGGTTATTTAAGTCTCCAGAGCATGCAAATACCCCCCCCCCCATCCCCCGAGCTTAATAGAAGCCTGTTATTTCAATATAACATCCAGATACTTTAATTTAGGTGTACATATATAGATTACATTGCAAGTCGGCTATTAAATATTGTTTTTAAGTTTTTTTTTATATGCAGCGTGTTAGTTACCCGCCGCTTAACAAGGAGTTTTAAATGTCGTGAAGACTTTGCGTATTCACCGCAGTCAGCACTTTTTTATTTAAGATCCGAGCTAATTTGCGAGCAAATAATCACTGATTTATTCGAACTATCAGTCGACGGACCGAGCTCTTCAAATGTCACCGCAATCGAATAATCTTAGCTCGGTCTCTGAAGCAGAGTTAGTTTAAATTGCTAGTTCGTCAAGTGTTCTATATCGTAGGAAGTCATTGTAAGGAAACCGTCATGGCTTAAAAATCCGCTAGAGCGTTCTGAAACAACGTGCGGCGTCTTTCAAAAAAAAATTATTAATATTTTTTATAATTTTTGACTAAAAGTAAATGACATCTACAAAGAACTAAAAAGAAGTATTTTTGTGCCGTGGAAATTTTTGCTTCGAATATATATATATATATATATATATATATATATATATATATATATATATATATATATATATATATATATATATATATATATATATATATATAGCACCAATCCTAAAGTATATAAAATTATTAAAAAAAAAGAATATTCAAAATCAGGTCCCATTAACAAAGACATCGTGTAACATATATTCTTTTCCTTTTTTGAAGTCGTCTAAATGGTAGACAAAACTTGCATAGAAAAATTAAAACACCGACTTTAAATTTTTGTTAAAAGTTAATTTTATGAAAAACGGCAGTTTAAGAATATCCACTACCCCATATCGTCCCGTGGGAGTCAGAAAAGGCAACAGAGGTAATCTGAAACGGGTGATGGGCCACAGTATCTTCCTGAAAACCACTTAAAATCAGTTTTCCAACCCGCTTGCCAAAAATACAACTATTGCAAAATCCTTCTACGATGCAATCTATGTTCTGCTGTGGATTTTTATAGGATGTAATGGTAACGGAACAGTTCAATTTATCATCTCTACTAACAGAATGCAGGACGTACGACGCCGGCAATCGTAAAATATCATTTTGATTGCCGTCGAGGAAAATGGCGAACGCGTTAACCGCAGTCTGCATGAAGTCCATGGTTATACTAAGACGGCAGTGACCACGGTGAAGGTACTCCGACATAGGTAGATGCACACCACTCTTATTTAGGAAAAGTTCTGCCCTGGTAAAGAGATTTGTTCACCATTGTTATTCAAGCTTTATCGACTGTAAACTAAATAGTTATGGTAAGGTACGAAAGCGGATATATTTTTGTATTGCAGGTTTTGTATTCGAGCCCCAGCTCCGGACTCCAAATACAAGTCCAGTGGGCTTCTGGGAACTTATATCGATAAAGATGAATTAAAGGCAATTTTCAATATTGCCTTTAATTCATCATCAGCAGTTTTATCACAAACCACGTCTAAGTGGCAGTTTTGAAAAAATATATATATATATATATATATATATATATATATATATATATATATATATTAATTAAACAAAGTTAGATAGTAAAAGAAAGAGGCTTGAAAAGTGTGTATTGTCAAACTTACTAAAGGAAAGCACACTCGTGAATTGAATCAGTACACAAACGAAGCGTGAGGCGTTGACGTGTGACTAATTACACCTGCTTAACTTTTGGCTCCATAATTACTGCAGAAGTACAATATCAAGAAAGTTGGATAACCTCACTATCAAACATCCGATACTTGTAAAATGCTCTCATTTATTATTTCTCCAGGACAAAACGCTCATCAACATACTCCACTGTTTTCGATTTATCACCGGAAGGATCTCGGATTTTATATATTTTAAAAAAAATATAGAATAAGGGTTACAAATGAGCACGCACGCATTCCACCTAAGCAACACTACGCAGTCCAGTAAGTGAATGTTGTGGTTCAAAGCTATATACATATATACATTTATCCTCGAGTAACAATCAAAATGCAGATACGTTATTCGGACGTCTCTGAGGACTAAGATAAAATGTCTCAATTCCAGTAAAAAAAGATCTCCGGTTTTCTACACTCACAGTACGAAACACGGCACTATTAAGCTATTATTTTATGCTGGAATTCTATGAGGTCTTGGTTCTTCCCCGGACCATCCCACCTGTTTGTGCGAGAACCATACTATAGCCGCAGCAAGACTACCACGTATCAAATATAACTGCAGCATGACTCTACCACGTATTAAATATAGTTACAGCATGACTCCACCACGTATCAAATATAGCTGCAGCATGACTCCACCACGTATCAAATATAACTGCAGCATGACTCCACCACGTATTAAATATAGCTGCAGCATGACTCCACCACGTATCAAATATAGCTGCAGCATGACTCTACCACGTAAGTCACTTTTAAAAAGAATTAACAACCCACGTAACGTTCCTCTGCTAGTCCCATACACTTTCTATAATTGGTATTGGTCGGCTAAAATGTTTACGAAATTTAATTTGTCACAAATGCAAATTTCCGTATAACTAAATAACTATTTCAATGGCCGCAGCGGGGCTAAAACTAAGTCTCTTCATACAAATTGTACAAAATTTGCTCCTATACCTTAGATGCTAGGACTTTTTGACACAGGCATTCTATTATATACAGCCGTTGTAGCTCAGATGGTTAACACTCGCTGTAAATGTAAGAGAACGCGAATAACCCGGGTTCGATCCCCACCGGCACCAATGAAATTGTTAATTGCAATTTTAAGTGCTGTTTTACCACGTGCTCGGCGGTGAAGGAAAACATCGTGAGGAAACCTGCATGTCTAAAGAATAAGAAAAAAAAATATTTCGATGACACGTGAAGTTCGCCAACACGCATTGGCGCAGCGCGGCGGACACTTCTTTGTCCTAAAACCCTCTCAGAAATGAGGGGAGGCCTGTGCCCAGCTGTGGGACGTATATAGGCTGTAACTTTACTTTTCTATTTTATCTGAGAGGGTTATGGAGCACACAGTCCAACGCGCTGTTTCAGTACGTGCTCAGGCACGCAGAAGAGTTGCTTGCCAAGCACGTTATAAATCAGCACATAAAATGTCAATTATTAATTTATTAGGTACAAGAGCCGTTAGTATACAGTGAAATTTACGAAGGGTGCTTAGCCCCTAAGCAAACACGTTGATGGTATAAGCTATTTTTATTATTTCGAATCGGAATCTTATGTAAAACCAAGCTTCCCACGCTAGCTATGTATTGACTACATCAGATTATTGCATTGCGGTGTAAGAATATCCATTACTCCATAATAATCTGTGGACACTAAATACGGAAATGGAAACTGAATAATATATAAGGAACTGTGGCAGCCACCTCGCTTGCCAAGTATGATAACTATTGAAACTATCCCCCTATGAGGCAATCAATGGGAGCAGTCTATGTTCAGCAATGGACATTTGAGAGACTGTAATGGAAGTGGTGACGGATTTTTGCCCATTTTATAACTACCTTAATACATTTCCAGATAGTGATCATATTTACCTTAATACATTTCCACTCGGATAGTGGTCAGGAATCGATTCTTGTACCGCATATTTTTCATTCACTTTCTTCTCTTTTTCCGCTGTGGTAGTAGATAATTTTTCTAATTATGCGACTGTAGGCTTAGGTATTTTTTTAACAGTTATGAAAATAGACACTTTACTCTTAAAGTTAACCAACAGCTGACAGGAAAATGAATCGTGACTATTGAATACGCCAGTCATATAATACTCAACCGGTGACCTAGCTACGGACAGACGGAAATAAGTAGTAGAAACCCCAAACGTTTACAAAAACCATAGAAATCTAATTTTTTTATAGGATAAGCGTGACAAACGAGCACATTGTCCACCTGGTCTACATTTATCCTCGATTACGAATCAAAATGCAAATGCGTTGTCAGTTGTCACCCCTGAAGACTAAGATGGAATGCCTCGTTTCCACTAAAAAAGGGTCCCTGGATCTCTACACTCACCGTACGAAACACAGCAGCATCAAGTTGATATTTTATGCTGGTATTCTGTCAAAGCGTGGTCCTCCCCCTGTCGAGCCGACCCATTCGTGCTATAACCATAATATAGCTGCAGCGTGGCTCTACCACGTATAAAATTCCATCTTAGTCCTCAAAGGTGGACGTGTTTGTAGGCTTCCTTGTTTGAAGTTAGTTTTAGGTGTCCATAGGATGCATTTGTCAATTACCATTAGAATAGAACTGTGAGTTCGTTGGTCACTTCAATATTTGTAAGACAACCTTTCTCTAATATAACCATTGATTTATATAACCCTAGATCAGTAATAACCGCGCCAAAGCGTTGCCACTGCACATATGGCCATAGCCATATGCCTAGCTAACGTGAGTTCATTGTTCAACGTGACGCCGACAAAGTTGAGCCGCGACAAAAATGGGTAAATGTGTAGGGAAAGAATGCTGTTCAAGGTCACAAAAACGTAATAAATCAAGCGGTATCACTTTCAACACATAATTTTTAGTTCTTGTTTTCATATAAACGTAAAAAACCTTAAATAATTAAATACTCGTAAAATTATCAAATATTTCCATTTAGGTTCAATAGTGCCACTTTTCCGCATTTG